CTATGGCAAACCTCCAATGGCTCAATGGGAACGTCCCACGCTGCCGCTGGCAAGGTTGCCAGATCAATACTGTCGTGACCGACCTCCCTCTGGTCGACTAGAAAAATAGCGTGCTCCAGGGCCAATGTGGACTCAACATGTCAAACGTGTCAAGCCATGTCAATGAGCGCCAAAACCCTTTTCGCGCGCTTCCACAAACAACATTCATTTTTTCATTCGTCTCGTCTCCGGCATCCCGGACGGCCGACTCCCCCTCTCTTTCCGACTACCCTGCTCGTCCTCAGCGTTTCGACCGGGCTCAGCCTATCGCTCTGTTGTCTTGGAAGTAGGTATTCGTCACATTTTTATATTGTTAATGTGTTCGTTGAATACATGAAGGCTTAGTCAATAAGGTGTTAATGGCAAAAGGTCGTTCCAATGCTTATTTTTACAACTATTCGGTTCGGTTGCTGGGTCATTCACTCGAAGCACGGGGTCGGGTAGGGGAGGACGGGAGGTGGGGGTGGGAGTCCCCCTTGTGTCGTGACCGAACCACCGACAAGTCACGACACAATTTGGTGCACCGTCTTGATGGCGGTGGCCGAGCGATCGAATCCATGTGGCCCCTCTTCAACATGACCGTTTCCAATTCATGCCCTTCCATGCATATCCCTAGGGAGCAGGTCACCATGAAGGCTATTGCTGGTGGTACACTCTTCCATGTTCATGTATCAGTTCCAGTACTGCCGTTGCGACCAGTGGCAGGGGCCTCCTCGGTAGCACTGGCTGAGAAGGGCCCTCATGAACCTGGATCAGGTACTTAATACGCCATGTGTCTACTGCATCAAGTGAAACACGGGCGATCGGCCGAGGATGCCGCCCGTTAGGTCAGTAGGGGAGGCCAACCGACATTCTTGTGGGGATGCTGTATGCTAGGCCCATCAGTTTGGTCGTGGTTGGGAGGCCCGTGGTGCGGGGGTAGGCTCGGGTTCGCTCAGAGCATGTTTTCCGCTCCGTGTTGTCATTTTTTGCATACTCACACGCGTTCGACTGTTGGTATGTTTGTGACCATGCTCATTTCCCCTCAAGTCGTCATTCATGATTTACCTAATCAAATACTATTCACTTGAAAAGATCTTATCCTTGCGCATAGCCACCTTTTCATTATCATGCTCATGTTCATTGTTGTATCACCTATGTGGTTTCGTCGCATCATTTCATATGTTTCGAAATTGCCTATATGAATTATTTGGCCTTATCATGTTCGTCGTAAGATTTCGTCTCATAGTAACTCCACCAAACTTCAATCGCTCGTTGACGCATGTTCCTTTCGTCGTTTGGTACCTTTCCCAATTCAAAGCACACCTGCTTCACTGTTCATCGAGTATTCTTCACCACATGCAATCAACCATGTTATCACAGTCTCAAGAAGTTTATGCCTTTATCCTTGTATTTCCTGCCTTGAATCATTTAGTGTAGTTTTCCATGGTTCGCCCATTCATAAAGGAAGCGATTACGATAAGGAATTTTCGCATCGGGGAGAACCTGCGCCACACGGAGCAATTACTTGGCTGCCAAGGAAGCGATGTGTGGCGCTCCCACGGCGAAAGGTGCTGTGGTTGCTGAGCAGGACCCGCGCGCCCCGCCCCCAGCGACGTGACGCCCACTGATTCACCGGTGGCTTGGGCGAGCCTGCGTTGCCAGCCGCAGCGCGGTTAGGGCGCCATGCCTGCTGTTTGTGTTTGCTGTGCCAGCACGCGTTGCGTAATCTCGTCCACGCGTGCGCGGTCTTCGCCGCAGTCCATCTGAGAGCCGCAATCAACGGCTACAAAAGGGGGTCCCATTTCTCGTTTCCTGAACGGATTTCGCTGCTTCTTTCGCCACTGACGTACCATTGAGGACCCCCTCGTCCCCTCTAAACCCCATTTGAACCTAGCGTAATCGCTTCCTTTAACATGTTTCTTATTCATCAGCGGTGAACCCGCAACGAACAGTATACCTCGCGTCACCCTTTTGTTCAGTACTCAGGTATTCCGTTCGGGACCCACCACCGTATTACAACGCGCCCATCCACTCGTCGCATTATAGCAGCCGTTTTTAATTCTTCCAACTTCTATGATTACCCCCCCCTCCTTTTTTTCTTCCAAGTTTATCTTCCTCCCTATCCAGGTAGTCATGATCGTTTCGCCTCATGTTTGCATCTTCGAGTTTAACCCCTTTTCAACTCTTTGTACGATGAATTCTATTGAGTTCGCATGCGCGCAGATACCGGTACTATTGCGTTTGTGGCTACTTACTCACAATGAATGTTCGAACTGTTTCCTTTCCGCATTCGCTTGAGCCGTTTCGCTTAGTTCATTCTCTCTTGCGATTTTTGAGAGTTTGGACGCCTTTCATCGGCTTCTTAGAGCAGGGTTGAGAAAAAAAGGAGGCGCTAGCTATTTCTGACCTTGTCTTCAGAGTCATGCCATACAAAGAATTTCTAGTTGAATCATTTCATCGTCATCGTTCGTTACACAGGTTTGCATTCAACTTCAAGTCTTTTGCATTCCTTCATGATGCAAGCGCCTAAGATTTTTGCTGTTATTTTTACAACAGTACGAAATCCTTTTCATGTTTTCTATTCGTTCATGTTCCTTCATACCGGTGTCCTCATTTGGCGTGCTTGCTTGCAAAGCAATCATCGTCGCAATCGTTCATGACTCCGTGTGAACCTGTCCTTGTGGTCTCATCGTTCATTCAGATGATTTTCTCCTGTAGACCAACCCTACATCCCCCCCCCTTCTTAACGATGGTCATGAATATCGTCTTTCTGCTTTCATCAGGGTTCCTCACCTAACTGATTTCGAACTTCGCAGTTAATTCATGATTGGGGGACGCTGAGTCACACATTATTTCTTCCAATTCCATTGCAGGGGATGCATCTTTGGGGGGAAATAGTCGCTTCAATAAGAGTGATGGTACAGCTTGCATTTTTCGATTTGAAATTTTTACGTCCACATTATCGTTCCATTGGTAATTACTTCTTTCACATGAATTGCTGCTGTTCAAATTTGTGTAGACACTTTAACTTAGGGTTATGTATTCTTCATCATCTCACCCGCTACAGTGTGTGTTTCTCCTTATCTTGTAAAGCTGTCTTCGGATGAGAACGTGTCACCCCCATTGCCCTCAGTCGCGGCGACGCTTTAGTCATGCTTATCGTTGCAGAGAAGGGAGCAAGCGCCATGGCCTCGGGCGACCGTACGCCTTCTCACCGTTGCGCGACCCCCGCCCCTATGGACGTCGATGATCAAAATACTTGTGCGTTGCAATCACATGATTTCAACAGTAACATGGCGGCACACATGATCTTGGGCACCTCGTCTCGGCGACCATATGATCAGAACAGGTGAGACCATGCCCGTTCTACTCATGAACTTATTCGGTCGTCAAATGTTACCCATTACTCTTTTAGTAACATGACGGTAGACCCATCGAGTCCCGGTAGCTCGTCTTCATCACTACATCATCAGATCAGGTTAGACCATCCCCTTCTGCTCATGAACTCACTCAATAGTGTAACCTTACCCATCATTCTTTCAGTACCATGAATGCAGACCTGCTGAGTCCAGGTAACTCGTCTTCACGACCACATGAACAACACAGGTTAGGTTGCTCTACTAAGAAATTCAATCCGTCTTCACTCCTCTTATCCATCATTCTTCTAGTGATGTTGATGCCGAGTTGTTGATCCCAGCTCTACGCCAACTCTATGGATTCCGACCCAACCCGCCGCCGGCTCCTCGCTCGTCATATCGTCCTTTGCTCCATCCTAAACTAATTGATCCTAAGTCCACCACCTTACCTAATCGAGCACGACGCGACTGGGTACCTCAAGAACTTGTAGCTCTCCTCGCGCAAGGATATTCAGGAGATCTAAGCAAGGGAGCCTCTACAACCGATGATGACACCTCCGAGGATCGGAGTCTTCCGCCCGAACATAGGTTGTCCCTTCGTATCGCGCAATCGCTAACACTGGCACGAAACTACGACCACACGTTTAGCATCGAGCACCTCTCCACCCGCGATATGCTTATGGTTGATGCATTTCTGCGACATGCATTTTACACCACCATGAGAGACTGGGTCGTGGACGAAGCATATGTTCCCACGGAAGCTGAAATGGAATATCCTCCAATAAAGAAGTACTCGATCTACCTCATCATCCAAGCTTACAAGGGCCTTGACGCCGCAACACGGAAACTCATCGAGTTTAACAACTCACTCTCACAAGCCTCCGAGGAGTTCAAGAACCCGGCAAAACTACTGAAGCTCAACGAAGAACTCACCACGTTCAGCCCGAGTGAAGACAATAAGGAGCTAGTGGACATGCTCAGTCACTATCACGTCTCCATCGCATGCATCAAACTCGTATGTGTCACGGCGTCAACAGCGACAGCCCAGGGATACACCAATCTCAAGCACATCGGAAACGCGCTGGCCCGCCTGTATCATGTCGACCCCACTTCCTCCGCACCGGCCGAATCCGTCGACATCCCTACAGCCGAAGAACTCGACGCATTATACTCCAAGGTTTCGCAACCCCAGCAAACCCCTCATCGAGATACGCCGTCGATCCGAACGGTTGAGGTCACAGTCGAAGAACCCCCTCGCAAGTCCAGCCGTCAGGCAGACCAGCGTTCCGAACGCTCCGTTCCTGTTACCATGTTGTGCAGTCCCGCTCCCCATCAAGTGGACGTCGACGTGAAAGAACAGCAACAGCTCAGGTCGTCTCCACGAATGTTTCAGTTTTCTGCAAAGGGCAGCATTACACCAACAACTGCCCTAGTTAGCCTCACCGATCGCTGCTTGAAGGCCGTCACAGAAGGCCGTTGTCTACGTTGTTTATACGTTCACACCCCAGGTCATTGTCAACGCGCCGCCCCTTGTAGAATCTGCCATGACGTCAACCATCATCCAGCCATCTGCCCGAGAAGTTCCGACGTGAAAGTTGATGTCAGCGGAGACATCGACATATTTTTCGACGCGATGTGGACAATTTATCGGAACGTCCACAACAAAAAGCACTGATCCCAGAACCCCGTAACCCGAGGAACCCCGTCGCGAGTAGTAGTTTATTCACTAATGTTGCACCATACATTTCCGTGAAGAATTGTTTATTTTGTGTCTCGTTAATTGTTTTGACATTTGCCTTGTTAGCTTACTGTGTTGACATTTAGTATACTTTTGTTAGCTTATTGTGTTGATATTTAGCGTACTTTTTCTCATTTTTTTGATCTCTCTTATTATATCTCATCCTCTTTTCAGGGTAATTCATTGCAGGATATTTTTCGCTGCCTCCTAATTGATGAAGTGCTTTGTCATCTCTTGATCCTCCTTTTGTTATATTTTCTATCATTGCTCGGTCGAAGCGCAGCCCTATCACACCAAGTCCTCACCATGTCGACGCCAAAGTTACTTCAGAGTTCATCTTCATGTGCCCCCGGAGTGTCGTGACCGACCTCCCTCTGGTCGACTAGAAAAAATAGCGTGCTCCAGGGCCAATGTGGACTCAACATGTCAAACGTGTCAAGCCATGTCAATGAGCGCCAAAACCCTTTTCGCGCGCTTCCACAAACAACATTCATTTTTTCATTCGTTTCGTCTCCGGCATCCCGGACGGCCGACTCCCCCTCTCTTTCCGACTACCCTGCTCGTCCTCAGCGTTTCGACCGGGCTCAGCCTATCGCTCTGTTATCTTGGAAGTAGGTATTCGTCACATTTTTATATTGTTAATGTGTTCGTTGAATACATGAAGGCTTAGTCAATAAGGTGTTAATGGCAAAAGGTCGTTCCAATGCTTATTTTTACAACTATTCGGTTCGGTTGCTGGGTCATTCACTCGAAGCACGGGGTCGGGTAGGGTAGGACGGGAGGTGGGGGTGGGAGTCCCCCTTGTGTCGTGACCGAACCACCGACAAGTCACGACAAATACCGCTTGCAGTCCAAGATTTGCAAACAACATGTCATGTGTCTACATCTCTTCCTGCGATGTGATCGAGTGATTCCTGGTGCTGCGGCAAAAACCCAAACCTTATCATCCAGGGTTCAAGTCCGAGAGCGGCGCAAGTTTTGCAGGCACCGTGCGAGGCTGGTGGTTTCAAGAAGGGTCATGTCCATGTTTCCACGCTGCTTGTTCCTCGTCAATGGGGAAAAATCACCACATTTGATTGCAGTTTAGGGTACTTTACCACCGTTCCTGGTAAGTTCATGTTTCGAAATTCAGAAATGTTGTTTGGAGTTATCGACATTCGTTGAAAAGAACGAAAATATTGAGCTCTGCGCTGACCTTGACAAAAAGGGATACATTTCTATCAAATAATTAAAGGGCGCCTTCTAAGTAGATAATAGCAAATTGAAGTCACAATTTCACAAGTTGCAATTTCACATTTCACTTATCAACCCCTGTTCAGAATTGAATATGCAAAACAATCGCCTTTTGCACACAACTCATCAAAGGCAAGCACCACTCACTCAAACATATTAGCCTACCTCTTGCCTTGAGGTTCGACTGCGGAATGTGTTGTGGGAGAGAGGACGGTACAGATAGTGTTTCTTTCAGGAGAATCGATGAATCTTAGTGAAACCATCAGATCATACATACCCTACTGATGGATACACATGTGGGTTTTACAAAAATGTCTTAAGTCTCAGTTTCACAAAACTGAAAGTGGAAAGGCTATCCTTACCTAAGTGAGCCCCATATCTTATCAAGTTTTCTTTGCAGCATTGGGTGCTTGGGGCTTTTTCTCGACCGGTGGCTTTGCAGTATCCTTCCGTAGTTTGTCTTCCTTAACTGTGTTCCCTTGGTCTTCTTTAGTTTCATGTGTTATTAAAACATGATAGGGAGGGCTTTTCGTCTGCTGATTCGCTTGACTTTTTGTCTGATCGACTTGGCTCTGAGGCAGTTGATCGCCTTGCATCTGATTATTTTGACTTTTACTTCCTTGATCGGCTTGACTTTTTGTGAACTGGTCCGCCTGACTCTTCATCGCATTTCCAGTTGGCTCCAGGTGACTACGCAAACTGCTCCGCCTCGTCCCAGGAGATTTCTGAATAGAACCAATGACTAAACGTTTTTAGAGACATGTTGATCATTACTCCGCTCAGAAATATCATTCAGTATTATTATCCTTTCATTTCCTTGTTTTTTTTTGTTTTTTTCTCTGCAAAGTTAGTTGGCTAGGACATTAATTGACGATTGTAAATTGTTAATCAGTTCATGCTCGTAAACGTAAATGCAAGCTTTTAGAGGTTGCAGTAGACGGATCAAGCGTAGCGTGTATTGAAACGACTCAGGAAATTATCTACCAGGAGGAGGATTGGGACTTCTCAAAGCAAGACAAAGCCGTTTCCTTTGTGATTAAAGGAATCTTCCACGGACCATGGACCAGTGGGCGGGACCGGAAGTGGTTTTGCGACGAAATGCATGGTAGGTACGGATCCACGTTCATGGGAAGGTTTGAAGTGAATCCTGTTCACGTTCGTGCGTTCGACACGTGGATCCGTACCTACCATGCATTTCGTCACAAAAACTTCCGGTCCCGCCCACTGGTCCATGGTCCGTGGAAGATTCCTTTAAGTATTCGCACTCTTAACAGCAATTAGCAGAAAAAGGCAGCTTCTATGTGGTTGTTGTCATCTAGACTCCGTCAACGACTTTCTTGTATTGCATGTTGTCGCATGTTGTCGGCGCTTCTATTTCTACCCTTGAGAAAACTCTTCCGGTTATTTCGTCCATTTTTTTATTGAGACACCAGTTTTGCTCCGCCCGCTATCGCGCGCATCACAGGGTAGGGAGGAACCACGGAATAGCAGCATGACGTACTCCATTAACCACCTCACTATTGAATGTGTTATACCTCCTTATACCCCTTCTCTCCGGCGCATGGCAGCACCATTCCCTCCCTTTCTCCTCCCTCCCCCTCCCCTCTCCCTCCCTCCCCCTTCTGCTTTCCCCCCTCCCCTCTACCGCCCGCCGACTCCGGCTGCCCCGGTAGAATGAGGCTGTGTGCTCGTTCGGTGTTTTTGTAGCCATTGTGGGTGTTATCACAATCACCACATCAGGTTAGAATAATACGTCAACATGAATATAGACCTTACTCTTAAAAACGGTCGTTCTCTCTCAGTCTCTCCTCCCCCACCTCCCCCTCCTTATACCCTCCTCTCCGGCGCATGACAGCGCCATGTTCTCCCTCCCTTTCTCCTCTCCCCTTCCCTCCCTCTTTCTCTCTCCCCCTCCCTTCCAGCCTCCCCTTTCTTGCCCCCTTCCCTCTACCCCCCCTCTCCCCCTCCCCCCGCTCATCCGGCTGCCACGGCAGCACCATGTAGAATGAGACTGAGTGTGCTCGATCGGTGTTTATATAGCCGCTGTGGGTGTTATCATGATCATGACATCAACATCACGAAGTGTTGCCCTTCGTACTCCCTGGTTTTGTGAGCGGTTGGTCCGGACGGACAGAACGACACACACACACACACCGACAAACCGACACACCAAAGTTCTGGTTTATATAATGAAGTGATATTTAAAACGAGCGTTCTAAATACAGATTATTATTAGCCCATAACGGACGGCGTGCGCCACATGGTGGCGCACGACTTTCTTTTGTTTTTGGAATGTTTCTAGCAATCTTAATATACCCATATATACTCTCAGCAATGTGGAATAACATATCTTCCCAGGACCTGGACGACTGGATTTTTGACAAACCTACAATAAATTTTACATACATTTTGTCTTAATTTTCATAAGTTTACTATTTGAAAGATGGCAGATGGTTCACATGTCCCGAGACCCCTTGAATATAGCCACATCCCTTGCTTAGGGTTCGCTGTTTGTTCGATAATGTCACCTGCAGCTTCCATTCATTCTTTGCACCCTAGTTTTAGAGCGGAAAGGCGGGTTACGAACTTGTCGTCAACGGAAATCTCTTCTTTTGGATGATGAGACACGAAAACTGCTTTAGCCCCGTTTTGAACCCGCTGTTCGCATAAGCCTACACAAATCTTACCCTGTGTACCGTCGGGCGCCACATGGTGACGCACGCGCGAAAACCCTTGTCGTCAATTACGTGTTGAAACGTACGTACAGGGCAAAAATTTTTTAGGCAACTGAGTAATTATTTCGCAAGCAATTAGCCGCGACAGCAAAGAGCTATTCTCTTGTAGAGACCGGAAGGTAATAGACTCCAGAAAAAATTGATAGTACACTGAAAATGAAGGTCGGGGTGGTCAAAGATGCAGGTATAAGGCAAAAATCTGGAACAACTTCACGAAATGGAGCCCTTGTTCTCACCAATGATTTCCGCGTTGGGGCGAGTCTCATCGATGCCAACGTCGTCAACGTCGGTGCGCGTATACAGCCCCTGTGCAAATGCAGTCGCACTGAGCTGCTAGAGGCGATTAGTGAGATTACAAAGTCCGGTGAGTGACCGCAACCGTAACACGTGACTGGTTGGCGCGCAACGTCACGTGTCATCGATTAGAATTCGACGTGCCCTTTTGTCGTTTTTCCGCGCACTCCACGGCGACAGAATGGGCGTGATAGAACCTGGCTCTTGTACGGAGCGTCCGTGCTGGTATATAGGAGGAGTATGGCAGTGGTCGAACTTGCCGGCAAGTGGTTTGGCGGCACCCCGGGGCTAACCTCCCTTGCCCTGCGCGCGAAGCGCGCGCAGCCGCTTGCCTCGCCGCGCAAGCGGCGAGGCGAGCGCTGCGTGTATTTTTGGATAGTCGCCCAAGGGCGGCTGTGGTGGTTGGGGGTATTGTGCACTCGCCAGCGAGGCTATACCCTCTCACGTTGGTGCTGAAACGTGTGGGTACACACAGTAGTGTAGCTGCGCGCTCCAGTGCCAACGTGGATTACGGTAGCGGTCACTCATCGGACTGTTGAAACCGGCTTGTCTAGAGGCGCACCCTTGCATCGCAGCGCACTCTCAAGAGGCCTGCTTTTGAAAAGAGTTTCCCCCTCCTTCTGCCTTCAATTCACCGTAAAATCCTTAAAATTCTTTGGCAAGCATTGCAAAATTCTCGTATCTCATATGTAACATAAACATAATTCCAACAAGAATGCCGGGCTGTGACTAAAACATTCGCCCCAGCGGGACGGAAATTTTGTTCGCAACCCAGCATTCTTGTGAAACTTTCCAAGGTGAACTGTGGCCAAAAACAGCAGTTAACAAACAAGAACAAGTCATAATCTCGACGTTACGTGCATACATTTTCATTTGATGATGACGATGAAAGTGAAGAATGTTCCAGAGCACTGAGCACTGCAGACAATCGAATCGTAGCAATGAACTCGAGAAGCGTGAGCAGAGCAACAAAGACTGCAACAGAACTGATGTAGG